AGAAAGAAAGAAAGAAAAAAAGAAAGAAAGAAAGAAAGAAAGAAAGAAAGAAAGAAAGAAAGAAAGAAAAAGAAAAAGAAATCCTTTCTAAAGCCCATTTAGTAAGCCAGAGTTGAGAATACTTAGTAGGTCTTGTGAAACAAGACAGAGTGTATCCTTCCCAGCAGGAAGTACAAATTAAGGCTGATTCATTCAAAACAGGGGACAGGTACCCCACCCACCCTGAAAAAAACCCAAACAACCAAAGCAACAACAAAAAAACAACCCCAAACCAAACCAACAAAAGCCAGAAAAGATCCAGGGTTATTATTTCATTTTTAAGGCAATGCAAATAGCAGTGTGTATTGTTTCTGCTTTTATGATCTGGTAGATAGATTTTATATACCAGAAACAATCTGAAGGAAGGAAATCTCTGACTATGGTTTTCCACAGTCATTGCTGAGGCACAACTAAGAATCTTTGTTCTTTGGCCTTGTGTAGAACACAAGACCTTTCCACTTTCCCCTATAAATTTTGAAACACCATTTGCTTCGTGTTGCAAATTATAGAAGGTCAAGCAACTTCTTCCTGGTTCATGGCTGCTCCTCTTAAAAGGCATCTTCAGAGTAAGATAGCAGGTCCTAAAAATGTGATCTTGTGCCTGCAACAACTGTTGGACCCAAAGCAAGGGAAAAGCAGCATTGCTTTCACAATACAATCAATCACATCCAGAGCAAATATTTTTGTCAGCTGACTTGATAACCAAGAACGGAGGTGTGCCCTTCTTAGTGAAACATGGGCATTGAAAAAAATATTGCAAGAGTCATTTAAAAGACTTTAATACTTGCTTGAATACCAAAGCATCTGATTGAAGCACAGGCTCTGTTGTGACCACCATTTAAGCATAAGACTAATATGTTTATATTACTAACAGTCTAGGACTTCAGCTCTTGAGGTCAAATTTCCTTACAGATCTGCAGACCAGAGGTTTTGCATGAGAACAGTAGAGAAATTAAAAACAATCAGTATCACACTGTATATAGATAATAAATGTGAAATAATTTTTATTGGATATTTAAGAAAAGGAAAAAAGGGGCAGTATAGGAAGGATCAAGGTGGATCAATGAGGAACATGAACAAGAGAATGAGGAAAAGTGTATTAAATGAGCTTGTCCACTGTTATGCTACATAATACATATCACAGTCTTGATATTTTTAGAGGCTGTTTTGTTGAGTAGTCCACAGCAGAATAGAGTCCATCCCAAACTGGAGAGAGTGAGCAACTTTTTCTGTGATTCTATCAAAGAAAAGGCAGACCCTAATTATTATGTATCCACAAAGGAAAAACTCTGATTCTGAATTGCTAAAAGTCCCGTTCACTGAGAGTTTTGCCTATAAATGGTGAGGATTAAATATGTGCAGTAGAATAGAGACATCAAAACAAGGGTAAAACCTGAAGTTATTATTATTACTTTTCTATATATAGTCTAATGCACCATCTAGTTCCCTGGTTTCAGTTGGTTCCTTATTTTGTGTAGGCAATGCTTAAGAGTGGTTTAGCTTGGTTGCGTCTTAAATAAATGCTCTCCTTCATTTAACACAGCACTCTGTACAGTTTACCAGGAAGCAAAGTAGCAATGTCTGTTCCAATATAAGCACAATTTATTTGAAAATAAAACAGTTTATATTTAAACTTTTATGAAAAGTGAAGCAATAACCGTAGCTTGTGTCCTTCCAGCAATGTTCTGCATCCAAAATAAAATTGTAGGGCTACATCTCAGAGCATAATTTCTCCAAATTACTTATAACCTTGCTGATGTTCATACATATCGGTGGATTGTGACTAGATTTCCCCAGAAATAACTCAAATGGTATTCCAGGGATGGAGACATGGTTGCAACTTAATAGGTTCTGCAGGCTGAGCTCTGCATACACTTGGGTTCTTTGTATTTGTTCATTCTACTCTCCAGCTGCATGTGGAAAAAACTCACATCCCATCCATTTCACAGATTCACTTCAGGCTCATCAGATTCCATGCTATTCATCATCGACTCATCCTTCATTTTACCCATCTCCCGTACTAAAAATTTCTGTTCCCTACTATTTTGATGATATTGCATTCATTAAATTCCTTTCCTTTGTATCCCTTTCATTTCATAATGAAATCTCCAATTGTTCTGTTTCTTCCCATTCCATGTTAATGCCTCTTTGCATAGCTTCATAGTCCCAGCCTTCCTCTGTCCCAGAATACCCTTCTCCGTAACTAATTAATTGGGAATAAATAATGTACCATGTTTATATTGTGAAAATCCTAACCGTACTGGAAATTAGAAGGTACAAGAGGAAGCCTATTTTAATAATGAATCTCATCAAACAATTGTTAGATTTCCACACTGCAGCAGAGATGCCCAAGGTACCCTGCAAGTTGCTCTTTATTTTTCTTTCTCCATTCATATTTCGTGCCACTTTTTTTTTTTTTCTTCCCATTTTTTCCCACCTTGACTGTATAGATTTTCCCAAATTGATCATTTTTGAATGAATTGGGTGCACTGTTCAAAAGGTATCCCAATGTGTGCACAAATACTGGGAGATAAGGGATATACTGCCTAGTATGTGAATCACAGGACTGAACAAAAAGGCAGAGGACAAATCATGGAAGTGTTAAGGGCCCATTCTTCAAGTCCAGCAATAATATATTTCATAGATTTTCAAGTAATGGAGACATTCACATTCAATATTCCTTTTTCAGCAAAGTACATCCAACAAAACAATGTCAGCTTGTACATCAAGGCTTCATGACTACAACTTATAACATTGACTGGCCATTCAAAAAGCTCCATACATGCCACACTTCTTTATTAACAGTGATTTCCACAGATTAAATGTAAGGACAAAATATTCCTTAGCACACTTAGTAAGTTAGCCCCATCACACCTACTCAAATATTACATTAAATCTATGGAAAAATTCAACTTGAAAAAATAGTTGAGCTTTGACTTAACTGAATTCAGTTCAAAGTCTTACCAAAATAAGTTATTTTACTGTCAGCAACAGAACATGCTGATAAGGTCAAGAAATCCTGGCAGTGCTGAAAAAATCAGTGGCAAATATCAGCCCCTGACAAAGTGATTACAGCAGACTACATTCTTCAAGGGTGGATTCAGCATATTTTCAAAAATCTGTCTTTGTTTTTTTCTTTTGTTCTCTTAAATAATTATCATAATTTTAAGAAAATCAGCTTAAAAGAAATCAGTCTATATTTCAGCAATATTTAACATGCTTAATGTTATCAAGGGACAAAAATAAAAATTGCGGAGGTAGCAAAAAAGAAAGGAAGAATTCAGATCATCATTTCTCAAATAAAGCCACACAGTCCACAGTCTTGTAGAGTTCAGTCAGTTGTGTTTTTTGTTGATAACTTCTAGAACACATTCATGGAAAACTAAGAACTTGACAAATGAGTGAAGCAGTGGAACATTCTTGCTACCAGAATTGGATGAAATAATTTAAGCTTTCAGTTTTAGGGGTACTTATAAAAGTATAAAACGTTTAAATTAAAAACTATCTTTACACAACTGAACAAGAGCAAGTGCTGGATTCTGCACCTGGGATGGGGCAGCCATGGATTTATGTTGAGGTTGGGGAAGAGAAGCTGGAGAGCAGCCCCATGGAAAGGGACCTGAGGGGGGTTCTGGCTGAGATCAGGAGGCAGCAGTGTGCCCTGGCAGCCAGCTGTATCGTGGGGTGCAGCAGGCCCAGCGCTGCAAGTGGGTGAGGTCCCACTGCTACAGCCTCACCTCCAGCACTGTGTGCAGGTTTGGGCACCACAGTGTAAGAAGGACGTAAAGCTATTAGAGAATGTCCAAGAGAGAGCTATGAAGATGGTGAAGATTAGTCTAGAGGGCAAGAAGTATGAGGAGCAGCTGAGGTCCCTGGGTTTGCTCAGCCCAGAGCAGAGGAGCTGACAGGAGGCTTGCAGCTCCTCACAGGAGGCAGAGGGGCTGCGCTGAGCAACAGGGCCCGAGGGAATGGCATGGAGCTGTGTCAGGGGAGGGGTGGGTGGCAGTCAGGGACAGGGTCTGCACCAGAAGTCGGTTGGGGCATGAAACAGGCTCCTCAGGGTCACGGCCCCAAGTGCCAGAGTTCAAGAAGTGCTTGGACAGTGCTCTCAGACACAGAGTTTGGATTTTGGGTGGTGCTGTGTGGAGCCAGGAGTTGGACTCAGTGATCCTTGTGGGTCTCTTCAAATTCAGAGATATTATACAATTCTATAATTTAATAGCTCTTGTATATTCTGTAATTTAGTAACTCTTCCTGTCCTTCATGCTGGAGGTATGTATGGCTGTCAAGTTAATTACACCAGAGCATGGATCAGGATGAATCATTCTTTTCCATGCATTACTTTTAATAGAATCAAACTCCCTGCTCTGATTAACTTCATGACTTTAAACTCTTCTGTTAGCAGAACTGAGAGAACCGAGAAGAGTGGCCAAAGGGAGGGGCAGGTTACAGTAAAGACTGCAGTCAACAGGAATTGACATTAAAGCAGAGCCAGCACAGCCCTTGTTCTGGCTTCCTGGGCACATTTTCAAAGTAGTATTATGGGATCTGGTTATCCCAGATAATCTTGGCACAAAATTCCTCAAGTCCCTTTAACAATTTAAAAGTTCTCTCTCCGGTGAGTTTCAGTTCTATATGTCTGATTTAATTATATCTGTGATATGTAACAACTCAGGGAATTACTTTGCAGCTTTTGTAGAGGCATTGCAAAAACACTTAGACTAGAGTGATGGATTCCTACCTAATATGTCTGTATTACTTTTTCCTCCTGAATGTCTTCATTATTCTTGATCTTTCCTGGTATTTATATTTAAAGCACTCCACAACTAGCTGAGCTTTCTGTTCCTTCTCACAAATTCTTATACAAATGCTAGAATATACGGACTGTCAGTTAAAAGATCTGTCAGAATTTCTTTTCATTACATTCCCCTATCAAAGTGTCCATTAGGTTTTTCATATTTTTATTTTCTCTCCTTTGGAAACTCCAGACTCTTCAGCCACCATGGGGAGAATGATCTCCCTTGAATGAAGACATTTTATTGTTCCCATCAGCAGCTCTTCTAGTTTTTAAAATACCTTTTTTGCCCTTATACAGGACTGGATGTACATTACACAGCGGCAATCTATACATTGAAACATTTAATGATGCATGATTTTATAAAAATAATTATTATACAAGTAAGTGCCTCAAATTGGCATATACATCATTTCTATATTTTATAGTAGTATATAGGCATATTAATACACTGAATTTTGAACCAGCTATGTAAACTAAAAGGCACATACACATTCATTTTAATTACTGTTGAACTAAATTGTATCTATTACAAAGGGAGAAATAAAATATTGTCAGTAGCATTTTCTTCCGTAGCCCTTTTTATTCCTTACATAATCCTCCCCTCTCCTGTTGTATTTGCATGCTTTAAAAGCTGGAACGTCCTATGAAGTTGCAACGTCCTGTGAAGGAATACTACTCCAGTACTAGATTGGTGAGTTACTTAGAGGTGAAGTAGTTTACTAAAGACTAAAGCAGAAAACAGACTTGATATAAGGTCTCAAATTCTGGCTGTAAGCATTCAACAGCATTCAACACTACTTTATAAAGAAAAGGCTATCTATTGTACAGAAAACCTGGCTCATATTTGAGATTTTGTTTTGCACATGTCATACAAATAGCTTTGAATGGCCTCTTCCAAGGAGTGTTTTCATTAACCTCGCTTCAGTTTTCATTCAAAGGGTTGACTTCTATGATCAGGAGTAAACAACAAAGCCAACTATTTGATCAGAATTTAGCAAAATTGGAGACTGCACTAAATTCTCCAGACTTTCCTAGTAGAGGAGCAGCAGAGCTGATTCCAGAGAGAGCAATTTAACCCATTTTGATAAAAACAAGCATTAATCTGTTAAACTGGGGTTGCTTTGCAGTATTTAAAATCTCAGCTTAGTCCTAAGTAGTAAATTGGAACACAACTTTTGATTAGCTAGAAGAAGAGTAGCTAGTAGAAGACAATTTAATTACTTTGTTGTTGCACTGGTCTTAATCTGTTCCAGTGAAAAAATAAAGCAAAACTGTATGACTCCTGACAACAAGTGCAATTAATATTCCAAGTAAGCCTTTGATATTTTTTCTCTCTAACATGACTTCTAATTATTTTTATTTCCTTTAAAGAAATGTAAATGCTGATCTATTGACAACAACCATTTCCCTTTAGAAATTTCTGAAGTTCACAGGCTGGCTTTCTGTGCTTTAGTGCTCACCTCTGTCATGCATTACCAATACACAATGCCACTCAAGTCTCTTCAGTCTATATTACACAGGCCACCATGTTCCCATTATTTTCAAAGAACAACATCAAGTACAAAACACAAGCACAACTTCTAAGGTGCAATAACTGAATGGAGTTAAAACCAGGAAAATACAAAATGTAGGAATAGTTATTTAATTTGTTATTTACACCCAGTGTACCATGTCCACAAATGTAAAACAGAATCATTAGCACCATGTCTTACATATTCTCTTACATAGACATTTTCTTGTTTGTTTAATACTAGAAACACTGCAATTCTCATTTGGATGATTCCAGCAATAGGTGGCATCATCAATCCATGCCTCAGTCAGCTCATGCAGGGAAACTGCAACAAGGTTTCTGATGCTGTGTGAAAATATTAACTTCTGCACAAAGTATTTAAAGTAGATGTTAACAAATGAATTATTCAGTTAAGGCATTCAGGCAGATCTATGTAAAACAAAGAAAGTGAAGTTTCATCTTACTTACACTAAAATTTAAGTAAAAGCAAATGCATTCAGCAGTAGTTTTACACAAAAATATCACCAAATCATTGTCAAGGTTCAATCGTCTGTTTTTAATAATTTTCTTCCAGTCACATAATTGTGCTGGCCTTATAGTAAAATGGTAAAACATATTATTCGATGTGTGAGCTATCCCCACTGGAAAAATTTGTGCTAATAAAGATTAGCACGTGTCAAAGACTGCAGGCTTAGGTCAAAAGCATGGAAAATTTCCAGCATCAGAAACAAAATAATATGGTCATGGAAAAAAAAAACAAAACATTTTATAGCTCTAAATAAACAGACACACCTAGTCCTGTATAAGATGTAGATCTGAATCTAAAAACTCTTTTTTTTAGACTGTGTCTCGGCCTCAAGAGAAATTTCCCTTGCAGAGTTCCCCAAACTTTTGCTTACTTGATTGTTTAAATTCAAGACATGGTGGGAATGCAAATTTTCATTTGGCTCTAGTGCTAAAGGATCCCTTCTGCAGTTAAACGTAAGATGCAGGAGATAACAGGAAACAGGACAATAAATACTCAAGTTGTTGTCCCTTCATAATACTGAGATTTAACCAGGGAACAAACATGGCTGTGAGATGCAGAAAGCATTCCTGGATTTTGTGGTGTAATGATTTTTTTTACTTTCTGTGGTCATCTGGAACAGTGATTTATGATTGCATTTTCTAGTGAAAGAATTACGATTGAAGCAATGAAGCACTGGCATTTTAAGAGCAGTGAGTCAGAAAAAAGAAATGATCAAATACCAGAATACCAAATAGATTAAAGTGTAAAATTAATGTTTCCAATTTCTGTCTCAACAGAAGTTCAAATTGCATCAGGTATTCCATACCCCTGCGGCTGAAATGAAAAGTAAACCAGAAACATCTAAGAAATAGATGAAAACAAAGCTCGCAAGTAAACATTTTGTTGACTTGAGCACATTTACATGCATCAGATAGGGAATGTCCATATTTGATCTATAGTCTGGAAGTCAGGTTGGTTTGATTGGTCTGTGTATTAGCTTCCCAACCACATCTAATTTTTTTTATCCTCCTCCTGAAACATGGGAAGAACAGTATGCATTTACAGAGCAGGACTACAATAGGAAGAAAAACTGCTACCATAAATGAAGGTGGTGTGTACCAGATGAATTGGTTAACATCAACCCATTTATTCCAAGCAAACACCAGTGCATGAACTGTGCACAGCAGCAGAGCTATGTATCCCATCTTGCTCTGAAAAAAGAAAGATAATAAGTCATTTATTGTTGGCAAAAGATTACTCTGTTAAGCAAATATGGAGATCAAAAAGGTCCTGAACCAACACATCTAAGTGGTAGAAAAGGGAGCACTAGGTTTTAATTAAAATTTAATCCTATAATTCTAGCATCCAATTGTACACCTATGCTACATTTAAACAAAGGGGGGGGCACATTTTTCTGCTATTGTTGTAATACTGTGGTAATATACAGAAGAGATAAAAGATTCCCAAAAATGGGTCAGTTCTCAGTATCTCAATTTGTGAATGTCATCTGTATCCTGATGTCTTTTCTGATAAATTACTATGAGTTCAAAAGCAAGTTTATGAGCAGTTCAATCAATTGTTTGCAAAGGGAATTTTTAAAGTCAATTTAAGTCAGTAACTGTAGTAAGTATAGTACTATGATAAATTTGGCTTAGGACTTGAATTTCAAGAGGAAAGGAAGAGTTACACTAGAGTTATTAACAGTTTTGAGTTTCCTGTGTACATAATAACCTTGTTTTTATTACAAAAATGGAACTGCCATCAGTGTGAAGTCCAACACTGCCTTTCCAATTTCTAAATCAATAAGATTCAGTTTTTAAATATACAAGTAATTTGTTTATAAAACTAATCCAATATATTACTATAAATCTTCTCGATATTATTATTATTATTATGGATTTCTTCACAATGATCATTTAATACAGGATCTTTTAATACTGGGAGACTCCCTCTATACCAGTCTATATAGTTCTGACACATTTTTTCCTGCAACCGGTGCATTAAATAGAATGGACAGAATTCTAAATCATTGCCAGAAAATATACATTTCATATCTACTTTTCAAATTGATGTCATGTTTTCAAATGATAGGTGCTCAATAGGTCTTCAAATTTTCAGATTTTGGTGTTCAGAAACCTAACTCAGTACTTGCTTAACACAGTATGATCATATTGATGCAGAACTATGCCTGATTATTATTGTATTTTATCTTATAATAAAATATATTATTATATTTTGTATTATTATTATGCAATATACAGCAAACTAAGAGAGAACTAAATACTTAGGTGAATGAAAAAGTACCCCCAGGCATCTGCAGAAAAACTAATTATGAGGTGGGTTTGATTATGTGTCTGTTCCTTCTCAGAATGTCTAATTCTCGGAATACTAGTTTGGAGTAGGTTGTGTGACTGGTGGCAGTGCAGACAGAAAATCTTTGCATTTCAGAAGGTATGAGCTTTCTGGACTTTCTAGGTACCAGGTACTGCTCAGGCAGAACATAATAGCCAAAATGGCTCCATGTGAGCAACAAGCAATTCTTGTGCAGTGAAATCCCATGCTGTATGGCAACCCTGTGAACTGGATCAGTACCACCTACTTCCAGCTCACGCAAGCCTTTAATGAAACATAAAAGGCACAGAAGATGACTTAAATGCTTACAACACCAGCAGTCTTTGACCTAAGAATAACTCCTGCTGACATGTCACCAGATCAGAGGAGCAAAAAAAGGTGCTTTGGAGCTTTCTTTATGCTCTGACCATGACAGAATTTTCTCCTGCTAAAATAGCAAATGAAATGAACATTCTCTCCTTTTTTTGTGTGTTTGTGTGTGTGTGAAGTGATTAACAAAGGATGCTGAATAAACTTTCACATTGGTTTCTTTAATTATTCTGTATTTGATATTTTTAACTGTGGATGATGTCAGCAGAAAACATGCAGTCCTAAAAATGAGGAGTGATGACATGAAATGTGTACCTGAATATAATGGAACTCTCTCCAGGTCAAAGAGTGACTGACAGATGGGATTGATGCTATTGCCAATAAGGCCAGCAAAGCAAGTCCCAGAATTCCTAGGGACACATAAATCTCCATTCTCCAAACATCATGTTCAATCCAGGCACTTTCTTTTTTTTGTTTGACCTGCAAGAAGAATCACAGAATGGTTTGAGCTGGAAGAGACCTTAAAAGACTATGTAGTCCAAACCCCCTCTATGGGCAGGGATGTTTCATTAGGTCAGGTTTCACAAAGCCCCATCCAACCTGACTTTGAACACTTCCATTGATGGGGGACCCACGGCCTCTCTGGGCAGCCTGTTCCAATGTCTCACCACCCTCACCATGAAAAAATTCTTCCTTATATCCAATCTAAATCTTTCTGTTTTCAGTTTATAACCATTGCCCTTTGTTCTGTCACTACATGCCCTTGTAAAAAAATCATTCTATCTCTTTTGCAAGCTCCCTTTACATACTGAAAGGCCACAATAAAGCCTCCCTGGAGCCTTCTTGTCTCCAGGCTGAGCAACCTGAACTCTCTCAAACATTTTCTATGGCAGAGGTGCTTCAGCCCTCTAGTTATTTTCCCAGCTCTCCTCTTAACTTGCTCTAACATGTTCATGTCTTTCTTGTACTGGAGACTCCAGAACTGGATGCAGTACTCCATGTGGGGTCTCAAGACCCTACTCAAGTGAAGCAGAGTGGAAGAATCATCTCACCCTTGTCCTGTTGGCCATGCTTCTTTTATGCAGCCCAGGATACAATTGGCTTTCCGGTGTACTTAGCAACTTTCATAAAATACAGTTGTTTTCACAGTGGTAATTAGGAAGTAAGATTTGAAACACAGTATTTTTGTTTGTTTGAATGTTTCTGAATCTAACAGTCATTTAACTGCAATGAAAAAGTCACCACTAGTATCTGCAGAGCAAAGGTAGGCTTTGAATGAAAAGAATGTGCAGATTGCATCAGCATCTTGGCTCAGAAAAGACTTGTTCTGAGGCATGTTAGCCTGCCTTCACAGCAGGAGAAGTCTTACTCTTTGACAAAAAAAATTCCATCTGTAACTAAATACCATACCTAGGAGCTTATAACAACAGGAAATATATTTACAGCACTGTTTTATGGTGCCAATTTAGCAAGCATTCTTAACGACATTATCGTGCCAGAATAGCTGCTTAGTCCTGTTTATTCAACAGCACCTTGGTGCATTCAGCTGCACAGAATACAGTGGTTGATATGAATGAAAATATTAAGTGGATGTCAAAGCTTCTTCTATTTGTAACAGTTCTTTGATGCTATTGAAATCACCATCATATAATATGCTCCAAATATGAGAATTTTTTCATCTGCACTTAAGAACTGGAATCTCACAGAAATTTCTGGTAAACCACTTAAGCCAGACTACCAAGAAAGCTGATCTTCAATGTTTTCATCAGGCTGTTTGATAGAATTCTTAAGAAAACATCCTACTCTGCTTTTTATAAAACATTATCTTAGACTTTGAGAATTAAAACTACCTTTGCAGTTTACACCTTATATTGGAATATTCCTTCTAATTCAATACTTGTGGCTCTCAGAGTGATATATACATGCAGTAGATACTCTCTAGTAACAGAGAACCTTACATAGCTTTGCAAGCTATTTATTGCCCATGACTTGGAACCATGATAGAAATTGTTTTAATTGGATTGTTTTAATAAGTTAGTGTGTACCAGCCAAACTGTGGAGTCATCAGTGTTCACACGTTTAGCCTGTGGCAAATAAAAATTATTATAATTTAGCTCAGCTTTTTGTTGGATAATTCACTTTACATAGATGATGTCTAAGAATAGCATGTGCAGCAGTTTTTGTAGATAGTTGAATCCACTGATGCTGTGAAAACTAATCCACACTAAATTAATACTGTGCCAAAGACTTACGTGTACCTGTGAGGCAGTTATAATTATTATACACCAAGTCAGAAATTCCTAGATGAAGAAAGTGACTTACTGAATACACACTGGCACAGCTGTGATGACTCTTGACTCCCTATTACATGCTTCAACTAGTAGGTCCTGCTCCATTCCTTTACTGTGCTATGTGGGGAGTTGCTTCCAAATCAGAGGCAATTTCTGAACCCATCATACCTGCTGGAATGCCCAGTTCAGCAACTTGTATCTGTATGATCTTCTCATCGGATAGCATAGGCTATAGCAGGCATGCATCACAGCGAAGAAGAAACTGAGAAGTCCAAATTGCTTTCTTGACAACATCCATCTATCCAGCCACTGGGGAAACCTTTTGTACTTAGTGCCAAAGTACAGCTGGAAACCAGCAGCTAATATTCCTGGTAAATATACCAGTGCTAAAAGGGTAATTGAAACCACTGGTAAGACTTTGTTTATGACAAGGATTGGAATTTTATAGAAAACATTTTCATTTCTTGTTATAAAAGGATATATGACATCTCTCAGAAAAGTGTAAATAAATGTCAGTAATGAGATCACAGATGCTATCTTCAGTGGCATGTGCCACCTGGGGAACAAATCCTGCTTGTAGTGTTGTTCTGAAGAGTATTCAAACTCACTAAAATGATGTGCTTGATGTAAGTTAAAAAGTGCAGCTACTTCTGGTGGATTGGCGACTTGCATATCCACATTCTGAAATAGACAGAAAGGAAATACTAGCGAGAACAGAAGATGATTAAAACTGTAATCACAGTATTTACAATCATAACTTGTATACTATGCATTATTGAAACTGTACACAACCAACACACACACTATTAGAGACAAGGTAGCTGAAAAATATGTTTCAAATAGTACAATCGGTAGTTGAACAATTTTAGTGTTGATTTTCTATTCTTCATTCCTTATGTATGGTGATTTCAAAATAGATTTTCATTCCAGGAAGTCAACTATACCACAAGAGAAGATTACATCATATAAAACATCACTAAAGCTTCTTATGATAAGTGTTCAAGACTTCAAGATTTCACATTCCAGCTACAGATTTGTTGAAGTAACTCAAATAAATATGTACAATAACAGAATCCAGAGATGTGACAGTACAATAGTTCTTTTAGTCACTGCTGTTTTAATGACAATTAATTTAGGGAATAAAAGTGTAAGTAGAAATACTTGGAATATAGCATATTAGCTGTGCCCCTTTCAACTTCAGGTTCAATTCCCAGCTTTTCTTTCTGTCCACCCTAAATTCAAAAATATTCTCTTAGTGTTTATGAAAACTTGTGAAACTGAGTCATTTCAGTTCAAAAATCTTTTACTGCCAAGATTCTAGTTTCACTGAAGATCTTGGCAGAATTAGAAGGAGCTAAGCTTGGGCAAAATATTAGTGTGTTATAGATTGTTTTACGCTGAGATAACATATTTAAAGATTGCCCAACTCTTTCGATCTGGAGAAGAGATGTTTGATCAAAATGAAAGTACATGCATGCACCAACAGAAGGACTTGGACAGATGTCCAAGGGGGAAGGCTGGGACTACATAGCATTAATAAGCATTTAACTCCTTCTAATATTCCAGTGAAATGTAAAGTGAACCTGAACTAATGTGGCAACAGCTCAGCTTTAGAATGGCTGATGTTGCAGGTGTCCCAGTCTCCAGAAAACAATATGGCAATGTCAGGTTTGAGGAAGGTAGCTACTAGTAGTTTTAAAGATGTAAATTGGCATTCACAGAATCATAGAATGATTTAGATTGGAAAAGACCTTCATGATCATCGACTTCAAATCATTCTGTAAGGATACAGGGGATTTGCCTATTTCTGCAATCTCACCCGTCTTTATTCTTAAGAATCAAATATATTGAAACTGATTAACTGATTAATACAGAGGTAAGTCTTGTGTTCATCCTCTCTGATACAGGGTGTTTTGCTTTCTATTAACTGAGAGATAACAAAAGTACATTGCTATCTTGCTATAAAATCTTAAATGGAGTCAAGGTAGCCTGTTCCTGCATGTCTGACTGACTTGCCTACAGTGCCTCAGAGTAAAATTAAAGGGCATAGTCTTTATTAGGGTTTTATAGTTGAAGATGCTTATCAAATGATAAAAATGTATATTTTTGAAGAACAGTGAAGGTATACTCTAAGTAACTTGTATTCTCTAGACAGTGAAGAATAGTGTAGTTCATGCATTACATAACGTGATATTAGTACAAATTATATAAACTGAGATTTTAACACTTTTAATTAGCACAAGACTTGTGCATTTTTAAATTATGAAATGTGATTTAACTGAATCAGTTGCTCATTATCTTTTTAATCTCTTGATGTCAATTTGTGAGAAGACTTTAAAAGCATTGATGATATACCAGTGTTATGGGAACATGGTGCTTTTGGACAAAGTCAAACAAAAGACTGCAATTTTCTGCATAACATATGAACTGCTCTTTTACAGAAACATTACCAAGTCACTAAGGTTTTCTCTATTTCTTCTTGGCATGATGTTCTGAAATGCATTCTGATCAATGGTATGATTATCACCTTCCCTTTTCTCCATTGCAGAAACTCCCTGCAAAACAAACACAGGATGAAAAACAGGTTTTGATAATCCCCTACTGGAACTTTGAGGCCTCTTTGTCCACAAAATATTTTCTTCCCCCTTCTCCACCTGTTTGACAGAGAAGTTGTTATTTTTATTTTTCTTAAGTAAAGTGGAAAGCATATGAATCAACACAACAAAGTAACTGAAGAAAAGTAATATTTAAGCTAAATGCTCACATCACTAGTGGAATGAAAGATTTAATTCAGGGTGAAAGTTTTTAAAATAGAACAATAAAGTTTGAAACAGCTTTTGTTTGTGGCATAACAGGTAAAATGTTACAAAGATGGATTTTTGCTAAGTTTACAAAAAGCTTCAACAAAACAGTGTCTAATCTGATAACAGGTTGAACTTGCTGATATAAGAAACCCACATCAATTTGTGGTTGCTAATACTTCTTAGGTTTAATGAAGCAGATTTTTAAACTTCGTCTACCTTATAGTCAGCCTGTGGCATCAAGATTGTCAGGAAACTCCAGCTGAAGCTTTGTTCATGCTGCTCCAAGGTACACTTTCAATTCTTATCACTCACAAGAAGCAGCAGAAGTGATTCTTAAAAGACTGCAAGAAATCAGAAGCCAGAAAACAAAGAGCAAGAGAAGGAATAGAATAAAATAGGTGTTTCTCTGTAGAGATCCTAAGACAGCAGTAGAGACACTATCCTGAAGACCTGAGAAGGCTGTTAAGCAACTGCAAGGAGTTACTTTTCACAAGGACTTCCAACACACACACCACCTTTCCATGCACTGCCTGAAGAGATGTGCTTGTGCCACACCACTGGAAGCTCAAGATGCCAGACCAGTGTAAGTTTTCTGTGGCTGCCTTTAAGGCTGGGACTAATTAGCTCCTCTGTGTAGACATCCCACTGAACAGCTGAATTGCTACATATGATATTAGTTTTCTAAATACAGATTATTTTACATCCATCAAACTTTTGGAAAGTTGTGTCTAAACGTGACAGTTGTACTATTTTTCTGTACACAGTTCCTTCAGTGGATGAGACTCAGTCTTCCACTGTTTGGTAGAAGGCATTGCTTTTTACTAGGCCACCAGACTTCCAAAGCCTAAGTATTCTTTTCTTAAGTATTTATCTTCTGATGTTTTTCCCTGCTAATAAGCTCCCCCTTTGGGCATAACCTTTTAGCCAAGTGCTGCAGAATAGGGTCAACAAGTGCTTCTCTCCAAAGGTCAAGCCGTTAACCCTTTCCTATGCCAGCTAACGGGTAGTCTGTATATCTTGCACACAAGAAAACATGCTGCTACAGACACATTTCTACTTTCTTTCCCTATTACAAAAACTAAATCCAGTGATGTTATCACAGATACCTTCAGCAAGCCTCAGCTCTTCCAGTCCCACCATTAGTTAGGAAATTCTACTTATCTGTTCTGATATATAGTGTATTTCTAGTTGTTACAATGGCAAAGAATAGTTTAAAGACTTCAATATAACTTAATTACTTGGAAAAAACGGGTAACAATGTGATTTCTAGATCTGTTGTTCAAAGAACTCAGAATATTAAGGGCAGTCATACTGTACCCCCTGATTTTTAAAGTATGAAGTGAGGAAGGAGCCAGGGGAGGGGGTGGGGGAGTGAAGGGAGGGAGGGAGAAGGACATAAACAACACTGACTCTGACATACTGCTTTCTCGGGTAATGAGACTTGAGTTTTAAAAATTGTTAAAGCAGCTTATAACCCACATCTTTGCTGCTTGTTTTTTTTGTTTGTTTTTTGTTTTTTTCCTGTACTGACCTCAATTGAGCTTTCAGCTGTTAATACTACCTGTCTACAGGGGCTTACAAAGTGATCCCAGCCTCTTTGAAACTGTCCTCTTCTGGCTACCACATTGTCTAGGAGGTCCAAAAGTAAATTTTTGATTGGGAAACTCTATGTGGGAGATCTCAACTCACCTGAGTCTCACACTGCTATCACTTCTAATTTAGAAGTGGCAAATCCAGAAACAGCTTTTAGCTAAAGATCTGTATTGGTGTTAATGTAGTAAATTATATCATGAAGAGAGGAAAAAAAAAAATAAAAATCAAGAGCTGGTCAGTTGCTGATTCAAAAAGTTGATTTTGGGAAACAATCTTTAACAGAATCTTAAATACCCCCTTAATGCTTCATATGGCAGGAGGGGAAAAAAAAAACAGGGAAAAAGAAGATAAATTTGTGTGAGTGAATATATATGCTCTAACAGGGAAACACACGGGTTACAGCCATGCAACTGCATGTGAGGAAGCATAGGTGCTGAACAACTATAGCGTACTTGGCTTCTGACACCAGGGTTAACACAGAACTTTTTTTTTATTCACTCAATAACATTGCACAGTAATAGCCTAAATATGAACACTTACAGTTCTGTTATTCAGTGACTTATGAATTCTCAGAACGAAGTCATCTACAGCATAGCTCTGTCTGGAACACGCCTGAAGAAAGTCCTGCGGAAGACAGAGACCAAAATTGCAGCCGTGTGTCAGTCACAAGTGCTCTAAAAGAAAACAGTGTAACAACGCCCGTCCTCCCTGCTCACCCCTCACCCCAAAGGCAGCAGTACCACCAGCTGGGAACGAGGATGGAGGGCCTGCGGCTGAGGAGGGCTGAGCTCCCAGTGTTTGCGAGCCCTGAGAAACAAGGCTGACAATAGTGCTGAACCAGCAGGGACCCAAACTGGGCAGACCTGACTGCAAAAACATCCTCCCAAACCAATGAAAGGTTTTCCTGAATAAGAGTTTTCAGCGCTGGCTGTGAAAAAAAAAAAAAAAAAAAAGGGAAAAAAGGCCAAAATAAACAGCCTGAGATAACAACGAAGAGATGGGAGAGCGCGGGACACGGGCAGCGTCCCACTGCGCCCTCGGCACCGCTGGGAGATGACAACGCGACAGCTCGGACAGCCGCCTGCCTTCAGCGGGGCTGACGTGCGGTGCAGCACCCTGCAGACATCAAGAACTCGTCGTGCCCCTCTGCTTACGCAGCCCCTCCGGGAAGCCTCACACGGAAGGTTCGGAGCTCGCTCCCTCCGTCGGAAGGCGACTGGGACGGAGGAGTCCGGATCCGGGCCGCGGCTCCGGCCGGCAGTCCCGCACCGCTATTCCGGGCCCACCGCCGGGACCCGTCCGGTGCCGTCCCGTCCCGTCCCGTCCCGCGCCAGAACCCGGCGGCAGCCCGGCCACGCGCCCGCCCGCCAGCAGTTCGGCCAGCGCCGCCGCCTCCCGCCGCCCGCGGCGCGCCCACCTCAGCCCGCCGGCGGTACTGCTTCTTCGGCCCGGCGAGGGGCGGCGGCGCGGGGCTTCTCCCGGTAGCGGCCGGGAACACGGCGAGCCTCGGCGCGGCTCCGCGAGGACGGGGCGAGGCGCCGCCGTGCGGGAGCCCGTACGACTGCGTCGGGGAAGGCGGCCTCAGGTTAGTCACAGAGCGCCCGGCAGCCTCCGAGGAGGGGAGCGGCGGGGGGAGCCGGCCGCAGCCTCCACCCCCCCGCCCGGCCCCGCCTCGCTCTCCGCGCCCATCCCGCCGCCCTCGGTGCCGGGGGGTCGCGGGCCGGCCGCCCCCCGTTCCCGGACGGCGGCGGCTCGGGGCCGCTCCCCGGCGCCCGCGGGCCCGCGGCTCGTGGCCCGCCAGGACAAAGGGCGCATTCACCTGTGCCCTGCCCGGCCCGGAGGAGGAAGGAGAGGGAGGGAGGCTGGCTCCGCTAAATGCGGTCCTTCACGCTCCCGCTCCTCTCCTTTGGCTCGGTTCTCCCTTCGTTGATCCTTCGCAACTCGTCCCTCCCGCAGCTTGGCACAAAGCTGAACGTAAGAGTAATCCTCACTTGAAAAACTACATTTGTTGGTTTATTTTTTTCTCTTCCAAGAACTATCGTCTCCTATCCTTTTCCTGTGCTGGTTAGCTGGTTAGCAGTGTGGACGGTCATTATCTCATGCAAACTCCCTATTAGAGGATATGTCAGCATTTAGTGGCTGGCTGGCATTGCAGAACACGCGGGCAGTCCGCCTCAGGAATGTTTTCATTTCTCCACGCAGAGCTCAGCGTGCCTTCCCCGGGATGGCTCTGCAGAAACCACGCCAAATTCCTTCCTTTTTTTTTTTTTTTAACCTTGGGAATCTATCAGCATTCTTCCTTCTCGAGAAAAGTTCGATGGACGCAGCGTCCAGCGAAATGCTATGTCTGCCTTAGGAGGGATATGGGTAGACTTGATTTCCCCTCCTGCATTAAAGCAAAACTGTAACTTAATTTTTCCTTACAGTTGCCATCATTAGAATATTTGTCTGTGCTTTGCATGAAGGCTATTTTTTCCCATGTGCTTTTTTTTTTTTTAGTTTTAGTTTTAGTTTTCTTCTCGGCTCCTTTTTTCCTACCGTCGGTTTTGGGCTGCTTCAGTGCCGGTGAGCAGCAGCATCAGCAGGGGGACACCTAGCGGAGGGCGCGGGCTGCAGCCCGGCTGCCGGAATCGGAGTTTGTGGTCTACAGGTCGACAGCAGCTTCTTGCTCCGAGTGAGCTCAGTGACTCCTGACTTCTCGTGGGAAGTCACTGGTATGAGTTAGTGTTATAGGGACTGCATTCATAGACCAAAATGTAGCTCAAGAGGTGGTTCAGCATCCGGATAACCCATCTTAGTTTTAGCTTTTTTAATAAAATGCACAAGAGCTCAGCTTGTGAATAAGCATTCTTAGAAGATGAGACAGAAAGCCAGGACCAAGTGAACCATGCTACCAAGTGCCCAGACAGCTGCTCTGCCCAGGTGCTCCTGGTAGCTCTGGCCATCGCGTTTCCAGTCCCTGCACCCTGAGGACTGTACAGTGTACCTATCTGTGAATAAAAATGGAAACCACACTTTATGTTGGTTCTTACAAGGTGGAAGTGCTTAGATTGATCAGAAAGTACTGCCTCCTATTTATTTCCATGGAAACTACAACAGATACAAAGAGCACAATAATGCCATTTGATAGAGAAGATTCTCAGATACAAAACACTATTTTTCAATGTATTCACCACCATTAGCTATGCATTTTTGCCAGTGATGAACAAGAGTCTCCATGCAACACTTAAAAAAGTTTGCATGGCCGTCTGGAACATGGTGTTTTTTTTCCACAGTGCTGAAAGTCACCACTGCTGAAATGTATCACCTCACTGTGCTCATATCCACTGTTTGGTCTCCAGAAACATTCAGCAAGCATCAGTGAATGTCAGTGGGTGCCATTTGTTCTGCATGTAGGAATTCAGTTCCACACCTTTGCTTCATGCACACTTCCATGTCAGACACCATTTTGTCAGAGTATCCCTCTGCTCCCATCTGTCACATGGCAACAAAATGTAATGGAATATTGGTGGGCAGGTTCAACCTCTACTGCCATACCACCAACATCTGCCTCTGACCTTGTGGGCAAGATAATAATATAGGAGGCATTACTTTTGGAGCAGTCCATGGAGATTAAAATGCCAGAGAGAACTTTGTTGTCTACTCTAAGGCATGACTTTCAGATATGCAAAGCACCACCTGTATTAGATGGTTACTAGAAAGCAAACTGCCAGACAGTCCTCCCTCAGACAGTTCTGCTGCATGCTGACAACTTCCTGCAGATATTTGTGCAAGTGCTGTGCAAGAAGTGTGAGACTTAAGGTAGAAACACCGCAGGAATCAGGAGTTGATTCAAAATGAGATAATTTTTCTTGGCACGTGCAGAATGGGGGAAATTTTCCTGACAGGTGATTAAATTTATGCAAGTTTAGCTAGCTCCAGTCATTTAGAAACACGTCTGTATTCTGTAATTATTGCATGAGCTGGGTGAGAATCGTGTTTCTGTAGCTGCTGAAGTATGATGGGGTATTTTCTGGAGGTGATCGACACTCTGGTGGCTGTCTGTGCAGTCCGTGTTTAGCACTTCATTACAAACAGAGTCTGTGGGAGATATTGAACATGAGGGAATGGTAAATTGCATTTTCATTTGCATTGGAGGAAAAATAAAAGGTTACATCATTGACAAGATGACCTGACAGTGGTGAGTCAGGAGAATGTTTTCACCACAGTTTATACAGGAAGAAGTCTGTGGGCAGGGCAAGTCTTCCACAAATGCAACTGCTCTTTGGACTATGAGCTCCGAGGATAACTTGCCAAATGGTTGGAAACGTGGTGCAGCCTTCCAGTAACACACAGGCCTGCATATAATCAACACTTCCTCTTGCTCTGAACTTGTTTAGTAAGCTAACTCTTACTGTCAGCAAGATGACTCCAGCATGCCCTGGGGTGCTCAGAAATGACGCTGTAGAAAGGGAAATGGTATGGAAGGCTGGAAACTGTTCCTTGTAATTTAAACAAGTGCAAATGGGCCTGGTTCAGCTGTTGAAAAGATGACTGGTCTTCCAGGACAGCTTTGGAGAAGATTCAGCAGAGGCTATCCAAAGTGGTGAGGGGCTTGCAGCAAATAGTCTCTGAGAACAGATGAACATACTTAGTTTGGTGAAGAGCAGAGTACGGGGTGATGTAGCAGAAGCCCTCAGGAGGAGTATAAAGGTGACCAAAAGAGGGGCAGGGCGTGAGAGATGATTGTGCCCCTCTGCTCTTCTGAGGCTCCATCTGCAGCCAGGTCCATCTGTGTTCAGGTGTGGGGCCCCCAGTACAGGAAGGATGTGGAGTTGTTGGAGTAGGTCCAGAAGAGAGCCACAAAGATGGTTGGAGATCTGGAGCACCTATCTTATGAAGAAAGGCTGAGGGAGCTGGGCTTATTCAGATGGAGAGGGATTCAGAGACATCTCATTGCTGCCTTCAAACACTTACATGGAGCTTGTAAGCAGGAGAAAGATCAACATTTTATGTGGTCTGATAGTGACAGGATAAGGGGGAATGGTTTTATACTAAAAGATGGGAAATTTAAATTAGATGTTAGGGGGAAATTTTTCACTGAGATGGTGGTGAGGTGCTGGCACGGGCTGCCCAGAGAAGCTGTACATGCCTCATCCCTGGATGTGCTGAAGGCTAGGTTGGAGGCCCTGCATAATCTGACCTAATGGTTGGCAACCCCGCCTGTGGCAGAGGGCTTGGAACTGGATCTTTTGAGGTCCCTTCAAACCCAAGCCATTCTGTGAAGCTCAACTCCTGCTGGTAGTGCTAGGGAATATGACAGACAGAGACTGCAAATTGCAGTTTGAGATTTCACATTGGATATTACAAAAAAAATCTTTGCTGTGAGGACAATGAACATTCAATGAATTGTAGAACTGTGGACATTTTCAAATTTTGCTATACAGAGTGATAGCTGAATTCATGGAGTCCCTGAATTGTTAGGGCTGAAGAGAACCTTGCTGATCATATAGTCCACTACCTCCACTCTCTCACCCAAAGTAGCATTAATTAGAACTAGGTTTTGCAAGGACTGAGACTCCACAGCCTCCCTGGGCAAATTATTCCAGAATTTAGTCTTAGTAAACAAGCCCCAGCTTCCTGAGCCTTTCCTTGTATGTCGTATGCTTTTGTCCCACATGGCCCCATGCTGAAATCACCTCAATTCACTCGTGCCCCACTTCTTGTGGGAAGCTCAGAACAGGACACAGCACTGCTGATAGGTATGAAAGGTGCTGAGGGAAGGGGAAATATCGCTTGTCTTGTCCAGCTGCCAGTGTTCCTCCCAGTACAGCCCAAAACTTGATCTTTCTTTGAGGGGGATTGTGTACTGGAGACCTCCAGAAGTCCTTACAACCACAATTCCCAAGTTTTCCCAAAGAGTATATCCCAGTACTTCATGAGTAGATGCAGTCAGGAGAATAGACTTGGTCTATCCCATTTTGCTGCTTACCCTGGAAAAAACTTGGATATTAAAGCTGAAATATTGTGAAAGACACAGGAAGAAACACCCAATATTTTTGAGGTTTTTTTTTCTTTTTTTTTTTTCCTGGTTGGATACCAATGAAAAACACAACACTAGAAGGCAATGTTCCACCAATGAGATTTTATGAAAACAATAATTCCTCAGGGAATGACTGAAAGTGACTGAGAAGAAGCAGAAAAAAAAACTGTGTTTTGGATTTGGCAACTGGCTTGTTTTGGTAATGTGGAGAAAACTCCTTTTATACAACTGGGTTTTTAAAACTGTTTTTTCTTTTTGTTTCTTTTTTTTAATTTCTTTTTTTTCCCCAACACAATTCCTGGACTCTCAAGACAAAGATTAGAACTGATGTGGGGTTATTGTCTGGAGTACCTGAACACATGGCTGATGCTGCTGCACATGGCTCTCTTCTCATCTTCAGGCAACCAAGAAAGACAAATGCCTCTTGCCTTGCTGAGAACTGAAATAAGGTCAAAACTAAGTGAGTGAAGAGTCCTCAAAAAGTATTGCTACTATTGTCTGCACCATATAGTTGTAGTTTGCTTCCACCTAGCACAGTCAGGAAAGTTACAGATATAGCAGGGAAAACACCAAAAATCCAAGTAGACAGCAAAGAAACCAAAATCCAGAATTGCAGTTAGAAGTTGCAGGCAGATCATAGAATCATCACAAAATCATAGAATGGCCTGGGTTGGAAGGGACCTCAAGAATCATCAAGTTTCATCCCCCTGCCACAGGAAGGTTGCCAGCTGCTGGATCCAGTACTAGACCAGATTGCCCAGGGCTTCATCCAACCTGGCCTTAAACACCTTCAGGGATGGAGCATCCACAGACTTTCTGGGCAACCTGCCCACTCTCTCAGTACAAAAACTTCCCCTTGACATCTAATCTAAATCTATCTTGTGTTCCCACATCCTCCTTTAGTTTAAAACCATTTCCCCTTGTCCTATCATTATCTACTGTTATACAAAGTTGATTTCCCTCATGTTTATAAACTTGCATTTAAAATTGGAAGGCTGCGATGAGGTCTCCCTGCAGCCTACTCTTTTCCAGGCTGAACAAGCCTACTTTCTTCAGCCTATCCTCAAAGTAGGGGTGCTCGAGCTCTTTGATAATTTTCATGGCCCTTCCTACTGGTTGTGGTAGGAAATGTTGCTTTTCTTGGCTGCTGCCTAACTTTCTGTGCTAGGTATCACCTACAGATTCTCACCTTTTGCTGCCACAAACTATAGTTTAGAACTGTACATTTTGAACAGGCTGCCTGGGTGAGAATGACTTAGCACTGTCTGTCACAGGTGCTGCCAATCGAAGAAGTGGACAGCTTGGAGCAGTTAAACTGCGAGTCCAGACTTCAAGCTGCACTTGTAGTATGGTCCAAAGGAGAAACTAAGAGCAGCTCTTTGGGGCAGAGACTCGTCTGGAGAAAAGTTTGTGTTGGAGAGCAAATTATTCCTACTGCTTGATTTTTTGTTGTATCCACGGCAATTCACTTGTTAAATAAACACAACAAAGAAATACATATTACTTTTTTTTTCCTCTTCTTTTTCTTTTTTTTTTTCTCTTAATGGAATCAATTTCTAAGGCTCTGATCACTGGGTAAGTGCTCAGATCAAAAGGGCCAGCATTGCTGATATCAGTGTATTGCTTGAGCATTGGTTATTCCAACTTAAACACATCCTATGTTTTTTACATTTGTGTTTTCTCATTCTAAAATTTCATAGGTCTGCTTTAGCTGTCAAGTACATCTTGACAAGTTCAAGTCTGTGCGCTGCTACAATACAGAAGAGAATGAATGAGGTGAGAAGTTAGGAGTCCCTGAAAAGATTCATTGGATTGCAAGTAAGTGAATGACACATGAGAAAGCAGTGATGGTTAGTTATGTTATCTGGATCTGCTTTTTGAGAAAAAACAAAGTACTCTGCTTTCATTTGTCATTTCAATTGTATTATATAAAATACATAAATCTTGCACACTAGGGAGTTGTGGGTTTACTTAAGTGTTGACTCCTAAGTAGGATAGAGCTGATTTGGGAATGGAAGTGCGAAGAGCCCTCTGTTCCTACTGTAAGTGGAGGTATAGTTGGCAGTTCTGCATCTGCACCAGTATGCTTTCTCCTTCTTGAATAATGTCATCTGAGAACAAAGACATCAGACGATATATTTGATTTATTGTCATGTAATAAGTTCCCTTTATCCAAGGGAATATTATAGTAAAGATCAGATAAGTAGGCAACTGCTCTGTCCCCTGGTGAAGTAAAGGACGGCTGTTCTTAGTAACATTGTTAAAGTCCAACAAATGTCTTACTTGGTCTGGATTTATCACAGAAATTCTGATTCAAAGAAGTGGCTCTCAAACTACTTGAAATACTTGAATTCCCTAAGAGAGTTTAAATCATCAGTGCCAAGTTGCAGGGAGCTGAGGAAAAGAAATACATTGGAAAAACTCTAAAGCTCAAGATTGTTTGAGTGGGCTGTTCAATTCAGACCAACACATGGAAGAAACAGAATTATGTACTATTGATCATGAATTAAGAGAACTCAGTAGAACCACAGGCACTAAATAATTTTTAACAGTGATGCTTTTAGACACTGTTGAAAGTACAAGTAAGGGCCATGTGACTTTTTTTCAGTTAAAGTTCAATTCAGTGAGTTGAAAAACAACTCAAAGTAAAAAACAATAGCAGTATTTTAGTTTCTTTGTAAAAGAAATTCCATTCTGGTTTTCAAGTATATAAATTACAGATGAGTATAGAAAGCACTTCCACTCCTACTTTACCAAAGTAACACTACTCCTAGAATTTCTTTCTGATAATACATACAATTTATTGGAAACAATCCAGAAGTATTTTTTGGTGTTTAAAATCATAACTTGATTGAATCAAGCATAGTGATATCCATTGTGTTTAATCATATACTCTTAAAATAATGCTTGTCTTTTTCACTGCTCTTTTACTTATAAAACATTTAACATCATACTGTTATCCCTTGAAGGAGTTGTATAGGAACTGTTGATCATGGCCTGAACCTCTGATTGACCACCTGAGGCAAGCACTAAGTCAACCATGGGAGCACAGGTGAAGGCAATTCAGCTGTGTGACTGGAAGAGGTGGAGCCTGGCTGCAGCTCTCCTAGATCCCATTTAAGTGCTGACTGCCACTGGGAAAGGATGTCTTTCTGGAGACTGCTCCTTGTGGAGTTTATTGTAAGCCTGTGACACTGGTGAGCATTCCCATTTATTTTGATTATCATTCTGATAATTTTGCTAAGCCTAACCTTTGTATACCTACTGATTGTACAAGCAGTTACGATACTGCTGTGATTGTGGTGTTAATATGATTTCATCACGTGCACATCTCTCAAGTATAGAACTGACTTCCTTAAAATACTTGTAATATCAAAACTACTGATAATAAAAGTAATGATAACTGATACATTGATTATCAAAAAAGCTTCAGTGCTCTAAGGCTGTAAAACTTAAAGGATACAGTGGGCCTCAGAGAGGAAGGATTATTGAGTAAAGAGAACATTGGGTATGTTGGTGGGCATTTGACTTCTCTCAGGAGTTCTTTTAAACTTGTCTGTGGTTTTTCTTTCAGAAAAGCACTTTAAATCTGATTATGCAATAAATATGTGATAGATTTTTTGCGGAGGCACTTATGGGAATTTATTATTTCCAGTTGTTAAAAAGAACTTCTTAAATAACATTTGTACCAGTGTTAATTTGAAATCAAGATGCTTTGGAACATAGCTGATGAAAAACATTTGATGTGCTTTATTGCCCTTAGCTCTGGCTCCCAGAGAAATGTTGCGGTTTAGAATGGCATTCTAATGTCATTCTTTGCTGTTGAGGACTTCTGAAGGTATGTGGTGAGATCACAAAATTGTCAAAATGCTGTATGAGCCTGCAGCCGTGTCCTTTCCCAAACCTTCTGTCTCAGGAATCTCCCAGGAAAACTTTAGTGCTTCCCATATCATTTAAAATCCTTATAACGTGTAAGGTATTTTCTTTGTACTATACTGTGCATTTATGCCATTGATTTTTTTGTCTATTTTATAGCTCCAACGAATGCTAGCATAGTTTAGAGTGTTAAAGACAAACAGAAATACTGACACTGCAGTGTGCAGTGTAGGATTCACCTTCAAAATGACAAGAGATACAAGCATAAAGGGAAGTGGTAGAGTTAAAGCACAGTTTTAAGAGCACAGTGAGTCAATGATTAGTGGGATGTCAGGTTGTGGTCATAATTTTCCATTGTGGCGTTCAGCTGCTGGATAACAACAACTTACTGATTTTTGAGGGAAGGTAGAATTAATTTTGGCAGTACTCATAAGTAAGGCTTTTATTGGTTACTGTGATGTCTTTGAGAAGTAAACAGGTGTGAGGAATTCTTCAAACACTAAGTGAAGTGAACTGAGGTACTTGAAAAGAACAGTTTATCAGACAGTTGTTATGAATTTGATGAAATTTAAATAAATAAGAGATGGAATTTGCCAAAACACTTGGAATTACTTAATAATTGGTCCAATTATTTAATAATGTTAAATAATACAATGATTCATTTAAATAAAGAAATAAATGTTTCAAAGTTTTCTGCCTCTGGATTTAGGGCAATTTTTTTTTTTTTTTTTTTGCGTGGGAATACTACATTGATACATTTATTATGACTGACTGGTAAGGGAATTGTTGCTTTTATCCAAAGACTGACAGCGCAGTTAGACACATGACATATTTCAATACAGAAATAATTTGTGCTAATTAGAGCTTGTTTAGTTGAACATTTTGCCAGAGATGGAATTATTTCTCAAAATAGGAGTGTTAATATTGATATTTTATACCAATTATAAGATCTTAGAGCAAGAATATTTTTGAATCCAGACAGTTTTACTACTTATGAAGAAAAAGACTTTCTGTACAAAGCTACATACTAGAATTTTATCTTAAGATTTGGACAGGTGAAAAATAATATCTGTGGTCAGAGGTAAAATGTTCCTGTTGTCCAGGAGTACCAGTTATATTACATGACTAACTGCAGACTACAAACGGCTGTGGATAGCTGACTTGTAAGACATAATCCATGGACTCATCAAATGATCCAAGAGCTGAGGTCCTTGATCAGACCTTTTGTTACTGCTTGAGACATTTATCAGCTCTGGAAGTAGAAGGGGGACAAGTGCAAGGATTCAAGGGTGAAATGGAGCAGGAAAATAGATGGGACTGTAAGAGATAGGAAGTTCAGACAGGGCAGGAATAGCAAGTCATAGCATGCCAAAGGCTAAAGGGAAATATTACAAGCTTCCATCCAGCAAACATGGAGTCAGAAGAGAATTTTGCAGGTGGCCTGAAAGCTGGGATTAGTGGTTGGTACAGCAGGTGGTTGTGCTATTGTTCAAAGTGGCTTCAGCAGACTGGAGAAATAAGCTGATAGGAGTCCTGTGAAGTTCAGCAAAAGGAAGACAGACTGTGGACCAAACAGCTGGAAAGGAGTTTGGAAGAAAAAGATTCAGGTGTGGACCAAATGAACACTGAGCCACCAAACACCCTGGAAACAGAGGCCGCAGGCTCCTGGGCTGCAGTAAGCAGAGCTCTGTGAGCAAGTTGAAGGAGTTGATTCTTCTGCTTTCTTTGGCACTCATCTATGATGTGTACTGTTCTCCGCTCCCCCTGTCCAGCAAAGAGTGACAACAATGCTTAAAGACTTAAAGTCTGACACGGAGGAGATGGACTGCTTAGCTTGGGGAAGAGAAGGTGTAGGAGTATCTTATCTGCATGTATGAATAGCTGATGGGAGGGAGTAAAGAAAAAGGAGCCAGACTTTTCTAAGTGATGAGACAATGGGCACAAATTGAAATGCAGGAAATTCCAGTTAAACACAAGAAAAATCATCTTAATTAGCTTCAGGTCGCCCAAAAGTGATTGAGAAAATGTGAAAAGACTGAAATCAAACCCCACGGTGATTTGTCATCTTAATGACTGTGGATGCTTTCAGAAATTGGACTTGAGTGCCTTAGCTTAAATATGGATGTTTCACAAGAGTTTGGTGAGAGCTTTAAGTCATATCATCACAGTAAGTGCACTCAGAAATCTTTTGTCTTTTTTTGTTGTTTTTTGGTTATTGGCCCTTACTTGAAGTTAAGAGTAGAAATCTCTTTTCTGCTGTTCTTTTATTTTTTTAGCATGCTTGTTTTAATAGGGCTGTTGAACTAAGTTGGCTTACAACTAATTGCCCTCTGAGAGTTCTGTCTCTGTCAATTCTACTTGAGTTATCACTGAAATTGTAGGGAGAGAGTGCAGTGAAAACAAAGACAGACTTGACATGGACTAAACTGTTGCAGGTTACAAAATGAATTTGGAAATATATCCACAAAGAGATGACAGTCAAGTTAGAAGATTTTTAAACTACTTAGCTGTAAGATTGCTTTCATCTCTTCTCTTATCTCTTCTCAGACGTATTGTCTGAAGATGAAGCATTGTAGAGAAACTTGTTGTGAGCATTCTTAAGAGAGCAGCGGAGCTAAGGAGATGAGCTTTTCTTAAAGTGATTTACTGTTACAGTTGCCTGATTGTCAGTATGGATCTGTAAATTTGTAAGCTTTGGCATAAACTGTGATGTTTCCTCCTAAGCAGCAGCAACTGACAACATTGCTCAACTTCGTTAGTCAATAGTTCATGGAATTAGGGACTTCAAAGACTCCTAAATGTTATTAAGTGATTTACAAAGGACTGAGTGTTATTAGTCTCACTTAAGAAATCGTATGTTTACAAGCGCTTTCTTCTTGTTGCCTAAGGCAACTGTCTGGAATTTGGTGAATTTTGTTCTGGAGTACGTATATCTATTATGCTGTGCTACTTCACATACCTAAGAAACCTAAATATACCCATACACTTAGGGTTGCCTTCATATCTTTGATGGATTTGCTGAAAAACAAATGCCTATAGAAGTGTCTAATGAATATTATTTAATAAACTAGTCATAAACTTCTTATCTTTGTCTTTAAGACGGTGTTCATGTTGGTTGACTTATGACTAAATTTTTCCCAGTTCTACCAATTTGCACCTGTTGTATAATTAGAGCTTTCAAGAGAACATAAATCCTGACAACCTGTTCTTATATATGTTCATAAAACACACTTTAGAACAAAGAACTTTCAAAAGCTGTAATTTAATATTCTTTGTGTTTTATGACCTGGAGTGTTACTTAATTTTTAGAGTCAGAAATACTACTTTATGGATACAGAAATAGGAAATCTTTTTTTTTTTCTTCACTATTTTTGCCTGTCTGGCTTAAAAATAACTCAATGTATGTGTTTCTGTGTTTTCCAAAAGTCACTGGTATAAGAATTGAAGAGATTTGCTTACAATTCTGTAAAGGTATTTGCAAAATCATAAAAAATGAAGGGTGGAATTTTGTTTAGATTTTAGTTCTATCTCGTACTGGTGTATGAGTGTTTTAGTAGTACAGAAAATGATATAAATGCTGCCTTAGTATTCTTGTGTACAGTCACTTTGTATAAAGCATAAATGGCAATTCTTAATTCTAGAAAAGATGACAGGTCTGTCTTTTTTATAATGGCTTTCAAGGGAAGAGAGGTGTGACACATTTCATAGATCACTAGAGCAAAGTCAAATCGTGATGAAATAAATTTTCTTGGTAGTACATTAATTTCAAATACAAGTTTACATAGAACACTGGGATGTTGTGAGGATTTCCATAAATGAATCAAATGGTCTAGCAGTACTAAATATACATACAACTATAATGAAGAAAAGGCACTGAAATTTGAGAAAAAGAAATAACTTATCCTGACATGAGTCTTTTTTCCTGCTTTAGTATGTAGTTATAGTATAGAATTAGAAATATTAAATGAGACTGATGCTATATGGTGTGGAATAGTGCATGCATAAATAGCATTGCATCAAAGCGGAGACCTTCTGATCTTACTTTCAGCCTTGTATTGCAGCACTTCATAGTATGATCCACAGGAGGAGTATTAATCCATATGCTAGTGGGTGCTTTTTGTTAAAAAGATTTTCAAGATCTGATAGTATGGGCAAATGGCAAAACTCTCATGAGAAATACCATCTCCACCAAGAGTCATGCTGATCACCTCTGTTTTTATTCTTAAAACATGAACTCTTTCATGGTCATTGTGCCCCTGATTAGTTGAAATTGTTTGCTTGTGGATGTGTCTGCATATGCAACCACTTGCACACTTCCCTTCTTCCCCCCAGTCTTTCTGTCTGTATTTTCATTCAGTGACAGAACAACTGTTTCCTGTGTATTTTCCCTTCTTATCCCATCTGTTGCCTTTTCTGCACGTGGCCAGCTGTTTCCCTGCGAGAACCTCCCCTCTTTCAAAGAGCATATTTTGGAAACTGTAAATTATTTCTGGATAACAATTTTTCCCTCTTTGTTTTTCTCCCCTATCCAGCTTATACAGTCTGAACTTTATTGCAAGATGGATTTATTGTTAAGAAGAATAGCAACTGAATAAACTATTTTCATTGTCCTAATTTACCTGCTTTGTTTTATCTAGGAGAAAATGAAACTTGGGTGTAGACTGCTTCATTTAGGAAAAAAGAAAAATAAATGAGATGCATTAAGTCCAACTCTAATAAGATAAAGGAAAAAGCTCTTGGTAGGGAGAAAACAAATTCCCAGAGTTGTGTCTATCTGGTTTTGGTTCTCTGGCAAGTTGTTTTTTCTCCACCCTCTGGGCCATTACAGCATTGGTTACAATGGCGGTTATGTGCCCTGCATGTATAGGAGCCAGGCTTTCATTATAAATGATGTAGGAAGTCAGTGGCCTCTGCTTCACAGAGAGAGACTGCAATGGAACATATTCCTTTTCTTATGAATGACTTAAGCTTAAGTCACACAGGATCTGAGGGGTTGTGTCACTATTTAACCAACCCATTTTACACTGAAATAGCATGCTTTCTTTAGGAGTGAAAGCCTGTTTTCATCACTGAGGTTAAGAGAAAGCGTTTATCTTCTGACTTCAATGGTTTTGTATCTGCTCTTTTTTTTTTTTTTAAGTCCTTACACCAAAATTTCAAAAATAAGGTCTGTGTCAGACGTAGTGCTTGCTTTCCTCTGAGGCTGGATGTTAGAGAAGAACATAGCTGTGGTTACTGAGGGAAAATGCACAGTGCCTGGCGACACTCCACTGTGGCACTGAGATAGAAGGCTGTATTTTTTTGGCTTTCTATTTAGTCACTGAGGGCACCTTCAGAGTAATACAAGTGCCTAAGTTAGGTTTCTGCTCAGAGTGGCTCTTTAGAGAAGCTCTTTTGTCACTAGGCTGTATAAGGAGCTTAGGGAAACTATCCTTTTGCTACCGGTATCTAAATTGGGCAGAACAGTTATGCTTTAAGGGCTCAAATAAGGAGACAGTATCTATAACTTGTCTCTTCATGCACTTTGTTTGCTGTTTGTTAAGCTGTACTTTCTTACATGTACTGTGCACTAAGAGCAGGCACTTTAAAGTTTCTCATAACTCTGCTGATATCTGCTAACCTGTTGAGCTACTGTCACAATGCAATTAGACAACTAAGATGAAGTATTAATAAGACTACCACTTCTAGCAACAAATGGGAATCAGAACATTGCATCATATATGGTTATAGCTGGAGCAAACAACTTATTTTAATTACAGAAATGGATGTAATCCATGTCCAACAAGAATGCAAACAGAGTCAAAACATTTATATCCTTATAAATGAACAGTGACATGAAATAAATGCTTATCTGAAAGACTATCCTTAACACTTAGAATTAAACAATGAGGTCTCTGTAATTAAATACTTCATAATGAAGCCATAACCTTACCATGAAGGAGGCAGGAAGGTGAAATCAGCACTAAAAGAAGCTTATTATTTTAATTGAGGTTATTTAATTTTATGTTTTATTATTTGGCTGCTTCTGCAATGCCTCTTTACTTCATGTTTCCACGGCAAAGAGAAGTCCACCAAGTTGTAACGTGGGTTGAAAAGTAAGGTGCCAGTTTGAGTTAGCATGTTCTACTCATCAGGACTTCTAGCAAACTCTAGAGTATTTTTTAAAGTCAGTGCTAAAGTTGGAGAAAGATTTCAGAGTGGTATCTGTCATGGTGCGCTCTCACAGCATACAGAAGTATGAGCACAGAACCTAAAAAAAGTACTTCCAAACTACTTCAGAATATTGTTTGTTGTTTTTTGTTTTTTTTTCCCCCAACAGAACAACTGTCCCCTAAGCCAGTTCACTGTGTACCTCAGGCAATATGCTGAGGGAGAATTGCCAGAGGAACCACTGGGTAGATGATGTGAGAGGCAAGGTGGCAGGAGGAAAACATCCTGGAGTGGCACTCCAGAGGTACTACTTGCAGTCTGTGTAACATTTTGTTTAGTAAGTGAACTGTTCAGCCCTTAATGAATGAGCTGATGTATTCTAGGCACTGATCGAATTTGTGAGGCTGTGCAATACGTACTTGTAAAAAATCTTTTATGGCAATACAACTAAAATAGTGTTTAGTCTCTTGCGCTTTTTTATTAGAATGCAGAATAACTTCACCAGGAAACATATTTCCTGTTATGTCTATTGGGGATAGGGGATGATTTGAGTGGTGACTGTGAGAAAACATTGTTAATAGTAGTTAGGGGTTAGTAGTTATCCTCTGTCCCTATGCAACATGTGTTAGAACAGCTTGAATATGATTTTCACTGATGCCAATCAGAGCTGGTTCTCTTAAGAACCACTCATTAGGCAGAAAGACCTGAGTGGACGATGGCAACTTTTCCTCTTCTTGGCCTTTCTCCTTGCTAAGACTGTAGGAAGGGGAGAGAGCTGACTGCCAGCTTTGTGCTGCTTTGAGTCTCCTCAGTGCTAAAGATAAGTTATTCAAGGAGTCAGCAGATGTTGTAACAATGCTCACTTTCTTTGGAAGAATAAGTACTTTCGTCTTGAATAATTACCATATGTCCAGTTGTGTTTTAAGTGCTTTTTCTGTATAAACTTTGCATTAATAGAGAAGTAGTAATCTTTTCTTTTTTATATAATATTACATGTTTATTTCAGTAATACCAACCAGTCTTTGTTGTGAGACAGAATTTTGTGCATTAACAGAACAAACATGAATTTTAATAATGGTGAAAGAGCAGCAACTATCAAAAGAAAGCAGATATCTAGTGAGAGGCATTGATCTACAGAGAGAAAAAAAGTAAACTCTGTCTCTGAAGCCCACACATTCAGAGACTCATAGAATCACAAGGTTGTAAAGGACCTGCAAGATCATCTAGTCCAACCACCTTCCCATTCCTGTTAGTACCACAAGCTACTAAACCATATCTCGTAGCTCCTCATCCAGGCACCTCTTGAACACTGCCAGGGACGGCGACTCCACCACCTCCCTTGGCAGGCCATTCCAGTGCCTGACCACCCTCTGAGAGAGAAAGTTTCTCCTAATGTCCAACCTAAACCTCCTCTGGTACAACTTCTGCCCATTTCCTTGGGTCCTACTATTTCGCTAGGAGAAGAGGCCAGACCCTTTTTAGTCACAACAATGATGGCTTTATAAATCTGTATTCAATTACAGTAGCCTGGGAGGTTTGTGAATCAACACCAGTGAACATTTCTGTGCTGAATTTAGGACAAAATAGATTTTTTCTCATCTGACCTTTTTCTAATTTGTTTGTTTTTTTTTTTTTTAGCTCATGAAAATGCTGATACTGAAAAACTGTATTTATATCTTCTTGCATATGTACTTGCTCTGGATGTACTTCTGGTTTGTTTCTTTTTACTCTTTATATATTTAAATATATAATAACAAAAAAAGCAATAGGAAAAAAATTTGGCCAAAAGGTGGCAGTGAAGACACACAAGATATGCCATCCTACATTTATGTAGTAAACTGTTTAAAAGAAAAAGTGCATTCTCTTAAGTTTTAAGAGCATTATTGTGAGGGGGGAAAAAAAAGTTACCTATTGGGCTGAATGGTAATGTAAAAACTCCAGCAGGAGTTTGACTTACTGAAGTAACTTATTACTGGATAAAAACCTGCTATTGACTAGTGTGTGAGCTTTGTGTAAGACAGAAAAAGAATAGCTTTGCCTTGATCTAGTCTCCTGCTGCTCAGAGAATAGATCACAGGGTTAGGATGGCTCTTCCTATCTAGATGGAAACACCTGAGGCACTGCTCATCCATCATTCAGTTCATACTCTACGTCTAAACGGCCGCTCTCTTGTTCTCCTTATTCCAGCTCTGTTTGAGAGTCACTTATGAAACAAAGGGGTGAGAACACTTGAACTCTTCAAACCATTGTGAGATCTGTCTGCTGAGTTCTCTTCACTATGGTCTGATGCTGTCATGCCAAGGGGTGTGTGGATATATGATCTATGGCCCTCCTTCAGTTGTCTGCTAAATGTTTATCCAATTAAGTAACATATAACATTGCACTCTTCTTTCATAGTGATGGATTTTGTCCTTAAAATGTACTTTCCTTTAGTATCCTTATTAATATGACTGTAGTTAAATACTGTGGTTGTGCCCTATAGGAAACATTAATTAGGTAGCTTCTCCCTTATGTAGTTACACCCTAGGGCTTAGTTTCATTTTCTATTCCAAAATAGTTCCCCATTTGCACAGAAGCATAAAATTTGAAGTGCATGCACACAACCATACACATTTTTAAATATCACTGCTGGAGCATTCAGATTGTGTTTCTGGCTCTAGCTCTTTAATGTCAAATTCCTGTAAAATTTTTGATTCTCTGCGTATTTTTCAGTATGCTTGCTCCTGAATATTTTGCAGGAAGTGGGAACAGTGTATATCATGGAAGTTAGTTTAATTTATCTCAATGTCTGCTTTTCACAGCTTATGATCTGTGGATAACTGTTCATCTATAACACATCAAAAACTCATCTTAGAGGAATTTAGTAAAGAATGAGCAACAGCGTCCTTAGGAATGAACAAGGAAGTAAGCACATCAGTGGACAATAAAGGTAAAAAACAAATACAAATAAATCTAGATTTAGCCTGATTTTTTTATTTGGTTGGAAATTGCAAGGTACTGTGAGAACCTGTACAAGACAGGCTTAAGATTGTTTTAAATTTGTAAATTTTCTGTATAAGAAGATCATAGAATCATGGAATCAAATAATTGCTCAGGTTGGAAGAGACATTAAAGATCATCAATTCCAATCATAAGCTACACCATACCACTCTAACAACCTTCCACTAAATCATGTCCCTGAGCACCACATCCAAGATGGCTGGATATAACTGTTAGCTACTCTCCTATCTAGTGTGTGAACCAACCAGTTTAAAATATGGATAATCTACCTATTGAGATGTTATTTCCAGTGTGTGATAGGTTTCTTTGTAAGAAAAACTCTATGCTGTGCAGCCAAGAAGGCTGTATCCCAAGGAGCATTAAAAAGAGCATGGCCAGCAGGTTGAGAGGTTATTCTCCCTCTCTTCTGTGCACAGATGTGGCCACATCTGTAGTACTGTGTCCTGTTCTGGACTCACCAGCTGAGGAAGGATAGGAAACTTCCAGAGTCTGGTGGAAGGCCACAAAGATGATTATGGGCCTGAAGCATTTTCCATATGAAGAAAGACTGAGAGATCTGACTAGTACTTAGTAGTAGTTACTCCTAAAGCAGCACTGTTTTCAAAATACTCTTACAGTTGTGATGTGATTATTTGTAAATGGTAAAAACAACTGCCATCTTTCTCAACTCCCAAAGAATAGTGAGATGCAAGATCTGGAGATTTTTTTCCAAAAATCATTAGAAATTCCTCACTTAGAAAAATGAAGAAGCATTTGTGTGCATTGCTATTGTACCATGTAAACTTGAAGGCATTCTATATAGAAAATTCAGGTTTTCAGTTGAGGTCGCTGATCTTGTGTTCTTGTTTGAAGCCAGGAGTTGGACTCAATGATCCCTTCCAACTCAGGATATCCTATTCCATGATCTGAAATTCTTCTCTCAGTATTTGCAGTGCATAAAAAAGTACAGCCGGTTAGAAACAAATATATGTGGATGAAATTGATAAATATTTCACATTTGAATGGAGAAGGAACTACTTTCTTGTAGTGAAAAGAATAAGTTAAACCAGAAAAGTTCATAAAAATTGTTTGGGGTAAAGGAAAACAATTGGTGTATTTTTAGAACTTTAAGGACAGTCTCAATATATAGTCCGAAAGACACTGCTACTCAAATTTTAGTGAATTTCTTTGGGGATTGGGCCATCAGTTATTCTTAATCCTACTCAAGAAACACAGCCCATTTATTTCTATTTATATTAGTATAAATATTTCAAAGTTAGTAACCTAAAATATAGCTCTTTAAATCCCATGTGAGTTTCCTGATTTTCAAAATGTTTAGAAGCTCCATTAGCATAGAGTAATACCACACTTGGCACTAAGAATTTTGTTAGCATTTCAGGTACAGCTTTCATTGGAATATGTCATAACTTGCACTGAGGACAAAAGTTTCCTTGCTGCCACTCAGACATTATTAGCATCAGTAATGTCAAGAATCAGCACTGGCTGCCTTTTCATTTTGCCGATAAAGTCCATTTGGCCAACATGCCTGTTTTTTTCTCCTCTGTGCAGACTGCAGTGCTGAGGGCTGAGTAGTTTCATGCCTGCATCCAGCCCTGATAAGGAGTTTGGCTGTGCTGTAAGCTGTGCCTGGGACTGGGAACTTGAAAGCACAGAGAATTTGAGAACAAAATGTAGCTTTTATGGAATAGCTGGAGCCCAATCAGGGAATGGTAATGCTATCAGTGTCTGTTAAGTTTCAAAGTGAGAGACAGAGAATCTCTGGATAATGGCTGATTTGAATAAATCTTTGGATAATGCATTTTATCTTTCTCTAACTCCTGTTATGCAAAGGACTGATGACTTAGATTATCTTGTGTATCAAATATCTTTTTTTCAGGTCATCCTCCTTAGTTCATTCTCTTTATTTCCCTCTCAAAGGTATTTAGGGAATGTTTTCTGCTTACTTCTGCATTTAGAAAAATATTTACTGAGGTTTATTCTAATTCTTAAATTAGATATTAATTTAAATCTGCTGTCAGCATTAGTTGTGTTTGTTATATAATAAAACATACCCATCTAGTAAACCAAAGCAGGTCTGCCCTGCAGCCCTGTCTAATAACAGCAAGAGATGCACATTAAACTCACAGTATGTTCACATTAGTTTCACAATAACTCTTGTACATTATCAGAGGACAAAAATAAAATTAGCAGCCAATAATGTTGTAACCAAGAAGAGAGCATACAGAGAATAGATGGGAGGGGGTATAACGAACAGTTTAGAGCTGCCTATTACAAACATTTAATGCTAAGATGGTACTTTATAGAAGGCTTATCTTAGCTGGATTCCTCTTTGGAAAAAAGAGCTGCTATGTTTAAATGTTGTTAAAATTTGGATGTCTTGAAAAAGAGTAATGTTGCTTTAAACAGCAACTAATCACTTTGATCCAATTTCTTCTGTCCCCTTCTTAGACATATGGTATAAGGCTTCAATCCAAGAGTCGAAAGTAGGCTTCACCTTTCCTCCTGTTGAAAACTTTCTGCTCCTTATACTGGGGAGTGGTAGTAAGGAAAAAAGCAAAAAATATTCAACTCATAAGAGGGAAGTAATGTGTTCTTTTCAAATGCATATTGCTCAAAATACCAAACAAGCTCTTGTTAGTTGTTAAAGCTAACATAAATTGAGTTCTTTTTAATTTTCAGATGGTGTCATTGATTTGTATATCTGAAATCTACAGACTGTTGACATCTGCTGTTTTGAGACTGAATCACTTACACTGAATACTACTAATTGTTCATTGCACTAAGGAGCCTTTTGTGCAATTAGGCGACATTTTTTATGATGAAATCAATTTTATATTAAAGAACTGCAGTAGGGGAAGGTGTAGTTAAAGGATTCTTCTACCTAAGAGGAAATAGGAAAACTATACAAGTACTAAAGTGCTTTATCATGTAGTAGTTCTGAAGTGCTTTTATTTCTTCAGTGAACTTCGATACCTGGACTATAGCTTTCTGCAAAACCTGGTAATTTGGTGTCAGAAGATTAGTTACGCTGTTTTGAAATGAGCATGAAGATTGATGCTGTGCTGATGACAAGGTAGTACTTGGAGATTATAAGGTATGCTCAAATAAGGAAACCAACTCAGACAAGAAAGAAAAGCCACTGAGCTACTCCACTTCATACAAATTACAACAAAGTGAATTTGTGTTCTTCTACGCCTCTTCTGCTGAAATCATCTTCCTCTCAGACTGTTGCTCTACTGTCTCCTACAGTATTCTTCTGGAGAAGCTAGCATCCTGTGGCTTGGACAGGTACACTCCTTTCTGGTTAAAGATCTTGCTGGATGGCCAAGCCCAGAGAGTGATGGTGAATAGGGCTAAATCTAGCTAGCAACTTGTCATGAGTGGTGTTCCCTAGGGTCAGTATTGGGGCCTGTTCTGTTCAATATCTTTATCAGTAACCTGAACAAGGGGATTGAATGTACCACTGGGCTCAGTCTAATGGAATGAAGTTCAGCACAATCAAGTGCCAGGCCCTGCACTTTGTCAGCAATAATCCTAGCAAATGCTACAGGCTTAGGTTTGAGTGGCTGGAAGACTACGTGGAAGAAATGGATGTGGGGGTGCTGCTTGTCACTTGGCTGAGTGTGTGCCAGCAGTGTGCTCAGGTGATCAAGAAAGCCAATGACATCCTGGTTTATATCAGAAATAGTGCAGGCAGGAGAGGGGAGTGATCATCCCCTCTACCCAATTCTGGTGAGGCTGCACCTTGAGTACTCTGTTCAGTTTTGGTCCCCTCCCACCAAGAAAAACGTTGAGGCCCTGGAATGTGTCCACAAAAGGGTAATGAAGCTGGTGAGGGGTATGGAGCACAAGTCTTATGGAGAACGGCTGAGGGAACTGGGATTTAGTCTGATGAAGAGGAGACTCAGGGGACACTTTAATGCGCTCTCACAACCATTTAAAAGGAGTTGTGATGAGGTGGGTGCTGACATCTTCTCACATGTAACTATTGATAGGACTAGAGGAAATAGCCTTAAATTGCACCAGGGGAGATTCAGGTTGGATGTCAGGGAAAAATTTTTTCTCTGAAAGAGTGTTCAGGCACTGGAACAGGCTGCCAATGGAAGTGGTTGAGTCACCATCCCTGAAGATATTCAAGAAATATTTAGATATTGTACTGAGGAACATGGTTTATTGTGGAAATACCTGTGGTAGGTAGATGGTTGGACTGGATAATCTTAGAGATATTTTCCAACACTAGTGATTCTATAATTCTGTGACTCTATAATTCCAAGTTTGTGGGATGCTTCTGCTTCAGTGACAGCTAAAGGTGTGAGACTGGAGGAGGTTTTTAGTTTGCTGGTCCATTTGCCAAACCTCCATGATCTTGTTTTCAATTACTATTGTTACTTAATCTGGCTTTGTTTGAGTAAGTTATCCGATGAGTTCACACTGATGCAATGAGACTTGTTTAGGCTGAACTGCTTGAATCCTTCCCTCTGGTCAGGGACAGATGGACTGGTGACGCACAGACATATCAGTGTTGAATACGCAGAAGATGATTGCCTCACAAGGTCAGAGATGCTGACTTTTCCAAGAATATAATATTACCTCACTCACATACAATCTACTTGATTTTCTTTTCAGAATTTGTCTTATTAATGGTGTTTTCAACCAATTCTGAAAATTAAAAATAATTTTAAATACTGGAAATATACCTTTGTATCTCAAATATTTTCTTCTTTAATGTGTCAACCAGGGACAGTTTATTAGAAGTGACTAGAATAGTGATTGCAATGAGGAATATACATGGTATTGTCTTTATATGTAGCGTTCCCTTTATATCTATGTCTGTAATTCTGCATGCTGCTTCTCATGAGGAGAGCTGTAGAGGTTTACTAAGGGTATTATCATACAAATTTATTATGTTCTTTTCAGGCTAGTAAGTGCTTCTCTTGTGGAGAGATTATTTCTACATAATTTTGTTTGTGGAATTACATAGAACATTTGAGTCTTACAGTGAGATTTCAGCGAGTTGTTGTCATGTGCCTGAAATGTAGACTGCTATAATAGACAAAATAAATACCAACACCTGTGGAAGGCAGTGTATCAAATACCTATGTAATTACCCCATGTCTTTTCTGTCTTCCCAGTTTCTTGTATTCCTTTCCCATGATGTTTTCCTCTGTCCCTTCTTTGGTGAATAGAAATGTAAGGTTGTCTTTTTCTGTTAAGGAGCACTCTCTTGCACATTGATCATGGCTGTCAGGAACTTTTAACTGCTTGAATCCTTGAGCTGTACTCACTTAAGCTTGTGCTAACAGACATAAACTATATTTTGTTGCACTACTGTAGCTGTGTGCTAAGGGGATTAATTCCAAGGCAATATATATGATTCTGTCTAACTCTTATCTGTGCCTTGCAAAATCTGAAAGCATTTTTAATGTTTTCTCCATTGATTGGCATAGAGACATTGATTCCTTTTCTTATCCATGCTCTGGCTTTATTTATTCCCTGGAGTAAAGTGATCCATAGCTTGCTCTCTTTGTAGAGAAACAAAGATCTTACATATATGAATGTTGGTCTTAACCTCATAATGTCATGCGCTGTTAAAGGATGCTTGTGAAGTTCATGCTAGACTTTACCTGTGTGCTGGATCACTTGTCTTTGTGTTGTTTTGAACCCAGTTCCTCTGATGAAACCCACAGAAATTTATAATGACTCTTAGCTGAGGCAGTCTTTAGCAACAAGCATGCCTTGAAAAGGGAGCTCTTACAAAGCTTGCATGCAAAAGCATCAGAGAAATATGGGGAGACATTTGTATCTTGCTTGCCTGATATCTTGCTGTCTGGTTAAGTCAAGGTGGGTTAAGAATAGCATTGAAGTTGTTTGTGTAATTAATGTCAAGAAAGCCTATGCATTCATGAAGACAATCCTTTATGCTGTCTCAAGCTTAAGTGCATTTAATTTAATTGCCTTTTTATTAGTGAAGGAGATAACTGTTGGCAGTTTACCTGCGTGTCTGCAGTTAGCAGTTGTCTTCCTTGATCAGTTAGAACTTCCAGAATGGAAACTTGCTTGTTAGCTTGCATAAATAAGATTAATTTCTGCAAATATTTTTACTTTCCACATTTTACTTTTCCAGTAGAACAGTACAGACCTGCAATGATTGAAATTCCAGGGAAACATAGCAGATCACAAAAGGGTTTTTCCTAATTACAGCCTTGATCTTCCTACTTCATACCCTCAAAGTCTCACATAAACTAGGATATACATGGATTGTGAGATCCAGGAATACTTCTTGATCCTTCATCAGTTTTTCATTCTGGCTGAATGTCATCATTCGATCTGGATGTCATGATACATTGAAACCTGAATGTTCATATTTGGTCTCTTGAGTTATCCCCCTCTCTGAGCCTTTCAGCTCCTCACTCTTGATACCTGGTTTCTTCTGAAAGGAATTGGAAATGCATGTAGGAAGACAGATGAAGGGCACTTTGAATGTTCTTCAGTTTGCGTAATCAAAGGACAAGGACTGTACTTGTTGCAAGGAATTCACTTGTAAAGTAGCTCTATGCCAGTAGGTTTTTACTATAGAGAAGTGATTCAATAATGGATGACTAATTAAATAAAAACAAGAAACAAATAACACCCCACCAAAACAAAAGAAAAACAAAAAAAGTCAAACCAAAACAAACAACATGATTATTTAGTATGGTAAATTATACTTTCTGGTTTTCTCAATTTATTCTTTAAAATTATATTTTTATTTCCTTATGTTTTATCTCAACATCATGAATAAAACAGAAGTATAACCAG